GCTAAAGAATACCGAGAAGACATCAGTGCGTGTGATTTCAATAAGTGCCTCTATTTGGAAGTTTTGACAATAACCAAATCCATTTTGCGCTAGGAAATTTTCTGGAGTGGCAACTATACAAAAGTTTATCATTGACCGTACTATGCGACTCATCGCAGTCCTCATTGGCATATCACTGTCGTTTGGAGAGGAAGGTTTGGAAAAGGGCTCTCAGCAGCCGTGCTGAGAGGTAAGCAGGATTTCTCCACGAGTCGTCCGACCCCCCACAAAATCGAAAAGCAACGGGGTAGGCTCTTCGACATGTTTTACGCAACATTGTTCAAATCGGACAGCATCGGACTATATACGGGAGTCTTCATGTTCGACCAATTTCTGACGTCACACATGACGTTTGTAAAGGCCACCGTTTAAATTAGGCGCCCGTGACAACAAAGGGCACTTGCTATGCAATATTTGCGTGGAGACTAAACACCCCTTGTGTACAGAGTTTTTGCAAAATTGGGCGTTCGGAGGACCATAGAAATTTGCACGCATGGTGACAATTCCAAATTCACCAGGCCACATCATATTCAACCATGTTGGTCTAAAAAAAAGAATTTACTCATCTCAAATTGCTTGTAATGACCAAAATTAAAGCATGCTGCAACAAATTTTTTTCTAGCAATTATGGCTCCTGTCTTGACTTAGAGAGAACGGTGGTCACACTCGACTCATCCCAAACAACTTGTTGAGAAGACTTGACAATTTACACACCACCGCCTTTATTTTTGGTATTTAATAAAATGTAAAGTTCAATTATTTAGAATTGTATTCACATGTTTAAGGGGGCCAAAAACCGGGAATGGCATTCAGAAGTCAAATTCGGACACTTAAACGACACGCTCACTCAAAATTGACGGTAATGAAACCTCCATTTTCTTACGCATTAGGGAAGTGGACACATGCCAAACCATGAAAGCAATGTTTTATTAAACCAAGGGAAAGTGGACAGTCAATCATTTTAGTTTGTTCTTCGACATTTTCTTAAGTAGCTGTTCATCTGTAATATCAAATAAATACCTATTTGTAGGAAAATAAAAAACAAATTTTCAAATCTTATAAAAAGAGGAAGAGGAAAACATTCGCTGCATAAAGACAGCAGTCACATGACTGAAAATGACATGATTAGTCAATGAATTAGCTTGAAATCTCAATTCTGATTGATACCACTTAAGTGACAGTTATGGCCAAAGTCCAAGATGGAAAGTGATAGAGCTTTTTTGAATATTGCTTCTTTCCAAAGATGATGGTTTTATTTTGAGCATTCGATGATGCGGAAACTGGTTATTGTTTTGCAAGTACAATTCTCCTGCAGGTGTGTGCTTATTCGTCTTTCACATGATACAATGCCAATGTCGGCAAGATTTATTCCGTACTGTTGCTTATAGACTAAGACAGTTCAACTGGCACCAACTTTGGGTCTGCATTCATTCATAGAGCCCCAGACAATGAGTCGACTCAGTTAGGATGTGGTTATGACAGCATTTGCCTGACACTTTTTACTGACTGGACCCTTCTCTTACACGCAAAATATGGTTGGGATTTTTGTTTGTTGCGTTTTCATTTTGGTTAACTATTCATGGAATTTGCAGCGGTGAACTGAATAAATCTTACTTCGGTACTGCTTTCGTTACGGTAACTATTTATCAATCACTAGTTGTCGTGTGTAATTTCTAAATCGCACCTGTCAGTTGA